ATACTACAACCTCTTCTTTATATCGAATTATGGAGGTTGAAATTTTGAAATTTGTCCTTTTGTTTGGTTAGTTAATTCAGTAGTTAAGAACCAAATTCTAGTTGTTATTTGACATTAAAAAAAGTATTGTATAGTTTGAATTATATCAAATTTTATGAATTTTTTAACTTGTGCCCTAAGTCTCATTTATTACAGTATTTGTAATTAATTTTATATAAATTTTCGTACAAAATTTAAATAAAATAAAATATAAATGTAAAAATAAAATAAAGTATAATATTTTAACTTAAAATTTGTAAAAAATTATAAATATAATATAAAAATTTGTATAAAATTAATTGAAAACACCCTAATTAATGAGTTTTAAAGGCACATGTTAAACAAATCCTAAATTATATAATCATAATCACTTGATGGGAGTGCGCCCTTAATATTAAAGATCTCACTTCATTAATGATTTTTATTTTATAATTTGATACAATTAAAATTATAAAATAAAATACTCTCTAATATTTATTACTCTATATTATTTATAAATAAATAAATAAAACTTATTTACCCAACTACAGAAAACAACTATCAAACACAATTAAAAATGTTTTGGCCAAAAAGAAAAACACACACACACAAATAAAAATGCTTTAACTTCATTTACAAAAGGCTGAATCATAATGAAGCGGCGATTTTTTAATTTTAAATTGAAGTTTAACTGAAGCAATGATTTTTTTAATTTAAAATTAGAAGTTTCTTTCTCTATTCTCATAATTAAACGTTAATTTCTCAAATCCTTTTCAAAAAGCTAAAGTAAATTCTTGTACGAAATCTGTTTCAAGCCAAACAATGTCGCTTTCATTAGGGCAAAACAACAATATGCAAGTTTCACTCCAAACAAAGGCATCAACGCATGCATATATGTTACAAATCATAGATTTTGAAAACAAACCTTAATAGTTAAGAATTTAAAATTTTAAATTAAAGGTTTCAAATTTAAATCTTGTATCCGACAAGAAGAGTTTTAGAGAAAGGGAAAGACTATCCCTCTTGTACAGTTTATTCAGGCGTACAAAAAAAAAAATTCTGAAAACAAACCTCGGACTCCAAAAAGGGCGAGTTAAAATAACTAAAGACAACAGTTTTCTGGATAAGGAAAGGCAAAGCTTCTTAATAAGGAAAGGCAAGGTTCATGCTTTTTCCCAGCATTCGTACAGATTAATATCAACACGAAGCCTAAAGTAGACTTCTCCCTCAAATGCATCTGTCATCAAAGTGGCGACCCCACGAGACATGAAGAAATCCCCTGTTCCACCGACGACCGAGATATCCCTCGTTTTGTTCATCAGTGGATCGGCGCCGGCAAAATTGATGCTTCCCCTGTGCTCAGTGGAGTTGAAAACGAAAGAAAACCCAAG